GTCTCACTTATTTTGGTCATGTTGTCAGAAGGGACCATTCCTTGGAGAAAGATGTCATGCTTGGTAGGGTGGAGGGTCGACAAAAGAGGGGGAGGCCTTCAACGAGGTGGGTTGACACAGTGGCTGCGATGATGGGCTCAAGTATAGCAGGGATCGTGGAGCTGGCGTGGGATCGGACAGTGCTTCGTTCTGCTGTGCATGGGGTCTCTATGAGTCGGAAACGACTTGACGGCACCTAACAACAGCAACAACAAAGGGGCAATGAATTTATGTTAATGGGAGGGCAACTCAGAAAAGGAAAGTGAGAATGGTTCTGCAACTTAAAGAATATAATCAGTGTCACTAAATGGTACATGAACAAACTGTTGAATGGTATGTTTTCCTGTATATATTCTGAACAACAACAAAATAAATAGGCTGTTTAATTTTGAGATAGCACATTCAAGCAGGCCTATTTACTAAAAAAAAAAAAAAAACTACAATAAGTAATAAGAATTTCTTGCCACTCTATGTAACACTTCTGGCTTTTGTTTTTGACAGTTTTTTGTCTCTCCTAATCTGGCCACTTTTGTTTTGAGTGTTGTGCCTCCAGTGTCCATCCTTGCTGTGATTTATGGGAGATATCTGCGTAAACTGACCAAAGTCAGGCAGGATTCCCTGGCACAAACTACTCAGGTAAAGGTCCTTCCCTATCCTCTTGGTCTTCTATGGAATAGATTCAGAGCCAAATTCCTGAGGAGCAGATTCTAAGGGATATGCTTAGGCTTTCCAAGTTCCTTTCCTCCCTTTTTCTGTTTTCTGAAATCTGCTTTTTAGACTAGATTACTGCCCACATCTCAAAATAGATATAACTTGACTGAACACTGTATGGACGTCTTCTTACCATCACTATTTCATATAAGACAAAACACTAATCATGCTTGAAATCATCTGTTAATTTATAAAGCTAGTTTGGCAATGCTGTCCAGTATTGTCTTTTTAAAACTTAAAAGTGACTTTTATATTTTCAATTCACAAAAGCCATGGATGTTTATAATTGAAAATGTAGATAAGGAAAAAAACCAAAAACATACATAATACTGTATTAACAACATCTAGGAGTCTGCCCTTGAAAATCTTTGTACTGCATAAAAATAAATTTCTCTATCTATCTTTTTTCATACCTATTGATTTTTCTGTCTGTATGATGTGTATATATTTATAAACATAGTTTTTTTTTTTTTACAAAAATAGGGTTTCATATATGCTGCTTTGTAATCTTTTTTTTTCAAACTTAATCTTGTATCATGAGCAGCTTTCCATTGATAGTGTCTTAAAAAGGAGAATCATATTTTAATTTTGTCTTTTGAAACTTTGAAATGTGACCCCTTATACCAAAATGTATTTATTATTCTCTCAGCTAGCTGAGGAACGTATTGGAAACATAAGAACCGTTAGGGCTTTTGGGAAAGAAGTGACTGAAATGGAGAAATACAGCAGCCAAATGGATTATGTGATGCAGTTGGCAAGGAAAGAGGCATTTGCTCGGGCTGGCTTCTTTGGAGCTGTGAGTATACCTTTTTAGAAAGAGTGAAAAGGGCAAATGTTACGATTGTCAGAAAATTTTATTCAGTGGCTATTTCTATAAATAGAAATAACTTTGTTCTACTTGAAGATTACAAATTATTTTCTTTAAAATATTTTTGTGAAAAGAAGAGGACTGTATGGTGAAACTACAAACTGTCTGAGACAAGGCACTCAAAGTGTGGTGCCAGGTCAGTGGCACCAGCAACACCTGGGAGCTTCCATGTCTGGGCTTTAACCAGCACCCTCTGGTCATTCTGGTGCCCATGGAAGTGTGAAATCCACTGAGGAATAACAAATATCCATAGGGAGTTTCAAGAAGGAATTGTGGAATTAATCACAGTGAACTCAAATACAACACTGAACTAGAAAATCACGGTAAAGACATTCATACATAATGTTCAAACTGGGAAGAACTTGAAAGAGAATTCAGTAATTGCCATCATTTAGCAGATAAGGAAGCAGAGGCTCAGAGAAGAAGGCACTTGTGACAGATTGAATGTAAAACTGCTGCCCAGTGCCTTTGTCTAGTATGTCTTATTAAAATGTGTAAGTGCCTGTAAAAAACAAAAAACCAAACTCACTGCTGTCAAGTAGAATCTGACTCATAGCGGCCCCTCCTTGGGTTTCCGAGGTGGTATCATTATGTAAGTAGATTGCCCAGTCTTCCTTCCTGGGAGTGCCTGGTGGATGTGAACCGCCAGCCTTCTGGTTAGCAGTCAAATGCCTTAGGCACTATACCACCAGCACTCCCGTAAGTGCACGTAACAGGTGTTTATTTGTTTCTTCTAGTTGGAGAAGAAATCTTTGCAAACTGAGTAAACTCAATGCCGTCGAGTCGATTTCGACTCATAGTGACCCTTTCTTGGGTTTCCAAGGCAGTATCTCTACAGAAGTAGATTGCCCGGTCATCCTTCTGAGGAGTGGCTAGTGGGTTTGGACCACCAGCCTCTGGTTAGCAGTAAAATGCTTTAGGCACTGTGCCATCAGAGCAAACTGAGTAGATTGAGTGAACTAAGATGGGTGACTAAGCACTTGTGTTTTCATGGTGATAAGGTTATTTCCTTCAATATTGCATTATTTCAAAAATATTTATTTGAAATTCAGATTGGATTTAATATTTCAGAAGGATTATAAAAGTTAAAAAAGCTTCATTAATCCCTTTTCAGTTTGGTTTCCCTGACTTCAGTGTTTCATTTACTCATAGGTGGGGCTCTCCGGGAACCTGATTGTGCTCTCTGTTCTGTACAAAGGAGGGCTGCTGATGAGCAGTGCCCACATGACAGTGGGTGAACTCTCTTCCTTCCTCATGTATGCTTTCTGGGTTGGATTGAGTATTTCAGGTATATAATTTAAATAGGCTTGTGGAGTTTCAAATTAAAAATCAAGTATATAGTTTATGAAATAAAAACTTACTCTCACATAACTCTACCTCTAGACAACTAACTTCAACTGAAAAAATATGCTAGAGTATTGTTCCAACTTGGCTTTTAAAGAAAAAATAAAATAATGGGTGTGATCCTATCCCATGTAGGTACAGATTCTTGATTGGCACGTTGTGGATTTTTGCAGGCCTCTTGTAGCTTAGCTTGTTAAATTTTTATCATAGAATAGAGGGAGGAGGAAGGATAGTTGATGAACAGAAATGTACAAGGAAACCCACAATCTGTGATAATGATACTTTTGTGATTGGCAAATCACTGGGAAATAAAATTCCTTTTAGACAAAGTTCAACAAATTTCAAAACTAATGAATAATAAAAAAATATTTGAGACTTGTAAGGGATATAAAGCAGAGTTGCTTACTTTAGTCAGAAATCAGAGTTCAGCTTTTATTGTCCCTTCCTGGGCAGAGGGAGACAAGACCCGTGGAGGCAGAGCAATGTGAAGTCTGTAAAGTTTTTTTTTCTGGACCTTTTCCTGCATCCTCTGCCAACATGGGACAAATGATTTCATGCTTTTTATTTTCCTTCTTTATTTTGAAAGTGAAGATGGAAAGGTTAGATAAATAGCTTGTTGTCTGACTGAAAGAACTTCTGGTTATCCTACAGTGTTAGCCAGAGATTTTTATTTATTATTTTTGAGGTTTTCATGTCTAGTAGTTGAATGTAGAAGCTTTTCCTTGGGCACTGCAGGCAAGTCAGGGTATTTCCTGAAGTAAGATTTGCAGATATCCCTAAAAATAGCATTTTTGTTCTTTCACCTGGTTAAGCCATTTCAAGGTGTGGGGTGATGTGGGAAGCAAGAAGATTAGTTCAAGAGAGCCCAAAGGATGATGTGTTGCTCTTTTCTCTCAGTCCCTGGGTTGAGCCTGCTGGAGTTGGAGTCCCAGGATGTGCTGAACCAGGAACACCTGTATCCCTTTGAGGTCATATTTCCGAAAGACCTGTCTGTCCCTGTCCTGCTGTAGAGTAGATTTGCCTACCACCACTCTTCCCTCTCCATGGCCTTTCTTCTCATAATCCATGCCTGACCACAGCTCAGGTTTCTTCCCTGGCTTCCTGGTCTCCTCTAATCTTATGTTTTCTGCCACATTTTCTTAGCCACCCTCACTTTTTCTCATACTACTTGATAGGATAGAAGCTATCACTGTTTTGGATATCCTACTGCCCTGCTTTTATTATGGCAAGTTTACAAATGTATCTTGTATAGAAATAGGTTGAAAAATAACAACTCTATTTCATCAGTAGTTAGCTATCTCCCTTGGTTATAGAAAGTGCTGATGAGGCTCTGTCTGGCTGCAGAAACTGGGTAATTTGGGTTTCTTTTTTTTTTTTCCTTTAAAGAACAGCAATTTATTGACTCACAATTCTGCAGGCTAGTTGTCCAAATCAGGATATTGGCTGTGTTCCTTCTGAGGTTCTGAGAGAAAAACATTCAGTGCCTCTCTGCTAGCTTTCAGTGGCTCCTGGCAATCCTTTTTTTATAAATTTTTTTAAATTGTGATTTGAGTGAAAGTTTATAGAGCAAATTCACTTTCCATATAGCAGCTTACATACACTTTGTCTCATGACATTGACTACAATTTCCCACAGTGCAACAGCTCCCTTCCACTTCTTCCCCATGGTTACTCTTCCCTGTGTCCTTCCCTCCATGTGCACTCCTGCCCCATGAGCTAATTTGGGTTTCTTAACCACCTCAAATGATATCTTACCTCTGGTCAACAACTGTCTTGTAACATACATCTATCTGGAACAAAGAAGGGAGAAGTGGAAGTATGGGTACATCATTGTAGATCTACTACCACCTCAGGTTTCTCTATATTTGTAACCAAGACAAGTACCTAAATGATATGAAAATTTATTCAGCAGGTTGAATTGGGTTCTAGGTGCTTTTGTAAAGCTTAGTGTTTAAAGTAATTCTATAATGAATCTGCAAAGCAAGAAGTCCTTATTTTATTTACAGATGGTTGGGTTATGAACTTCCAACTTAAACACAACCTGTGATTATGAACCAACCTCCGTAAAGTCTATTATATTAAAAATTCAAGGTATATAACAAACAGGTGCTACTTTGCGACGCACATCAAAGCTTTATTGTTATTGTTACTGTCTTATTATGTTAAAGATGTTTTAGTGTATCTGGAAATGTTTCTTTAATTTTTTTTTCTTTTTTTGCATGGAAAGGTACACTATATACTAAGACAAGCACTTGACTGACATTAGATACAAAATGTACCTAACTGTTCCAACTTATGTATAGATTTGACTTAAAGACAGACTTGAATAGAACTCATTGATAATCTGGGGCTGCCTATATTAAATAAATTGGAATTTGTATACATTGGTTTCTCCTTAGAACAGTACACTGGGAAAAAAAAGTACATTTTCTGCTGAGAGGGCATTGGAAGTGTTGTCTAAAGAAAAGCATGCTTATTTATTGTGAATCACCACATACTCTTGTATCTTCCTACTGAGCCACAATGGGTTTTTAATTCAACCTGAATTCTACACAAATATTCATGTGCCATAGTAAGAATATCTGGATTGCATTCTTCCAGCATCCTTACTGAGGGAAAATGTTACAAGTATATATTATTCTCTCAGTTTGGACATGGACCATTACTTGGAGATTCTTTGTGTTGAGTCATTAATTAAATCATAGTTCAAGGCTGACTTTAAAAACAAGTTGCTGAAATAGTTTGCATTACATAAATTTTCCTTCTCAGTTTTTAGCCTTTATAAGGGAGATATTCACTGGAATGTCTGAAGAGGAGGTTTGATTTTGTGGCTATGTCCTTAAAATAAATACGGAGGTATTTTATATTCCTTTTTACTTACTATAAGATAAGCACTATACTTTATACTGTTACATTTTTTGACTAGGTGGACTAGTTATAGCACTGTGGTTTTAATTCAGTAGTTGATTAGTATGGCTATATATATTTGTAAATCCCCTGATGAAAAATTAAGTCCATATCAGAAATCATAACATTGAAGAAAGAGAATCCAAAAGAAAACAAGGGCATGAGACAGACGGAGTTCTGAATATGGATTCCTAGTGGAATGAGAGTAACAAAGGGGCATTTCCTAGTGTTCAGTGATGTTTGTGGATTTTGCTGTTTCTCCCCAGGCCTGAGCTCTTTCTATTCTGAGTTGATGAAAGGACTGGGTGCTGGAGGACGCCTCTGGGAGCTCCTGGAGAGAAAGCCTGTGCTTCCTTTTAATGGTGGGTTCTTAGTGGGTTTGTTCTTCTTTACTGGGATAAATGTGGCTTTGGAAAATTAGGCAGCCCCTGTCCTCCATGTGAAAAATGAGCTATGTAGGGGCACTGGGCACATGAATGGCCTCACCTCAGCTCACAAAAAAGCAATTCCACAGCTTTCCCTATCCGTGTTAGTTTGGTCCCTTTTATCTTCTGTACTTCTCTAGCTATTTTTTTTTTTTTTACTTTAAAGAAATTATTTTTTGTCTTTTTTTTCCTCTGCTCTATCATCAAAATATAATTATCCCTAAATATTAGCTGTGAAATATGCTTTATTCATACCAAAGAAAAAATCCAAAAAACAGCCCACTGTCATTTAGTCAATTCCAACTCATAGCAACTCCCATTGGGTTTCCAAGGCTATAAATCTTTACAGAAGTAGATTGCCTCATCTTCTTCCCAAGGACCTTCTGGTTAGCAGGCAAATGTCTTATGCACCGCACCACCAGAGCTCCTTTTATTCATATCAGTGGGTAGTAAATTAAATATCAGTACAGCTCTTTTGTTACTTCCACTTATGCTGTAGGAAAGGCATATTTCCATAGTGCAAATTATTATTCTTGAGGCCAATAAAAGGAGAAATGCAAGGAAGCTGCCTGGGCAGAGTCCTGGGATGCTGAGGACAAGAACACCTGAAAGCTGTGTGATAGGAAGAAAGTCCATGCTTCATATTACACAGGAGGTGGTCTCAGAGGAAGGATGTTGTTGGGGCATTAAAGGGCCCAAGGGTGTTTCTGGAAATCAGGGGGGTTGACCCCTCATAGGGCTCCCACTGTGCATCTTCCTGCAGATGGTGTGCTACCCCTGAGAAGAGGATAAAGTGAGTGTGGCCCCAGGCTAACCCACTACAGTTATCTTCCCTAGTGATTTTGAAATGTGTGTGGGATGGGAAAGTGGGGAAGAAGGGGCAGGGATGTATAAAAGCTTCTAAATGTCCTGGCATTTTGGCATAGGGTGGGGGATGTTGGTACAAATTGGATAGAGCCACCTTCTTTTTCCTTAACTATTTTCCTAGAAGCCAGTGAGCAGGGAAGTATAGGGCCTAGACCAACTTGCTAAGACTCAGGAGACATGGTGGAGTAAAAATCACTTCCCATTAGTCACTGACTCCTAGAACATTGTTTATTTGAATAAAACCTAATATTCTCCAGTATGACAGGTTCTAGAAAATAAGCCCAATCGAGGGAGATTGAAAAGCTTCTCCTGAGTCAGTGGTAAGTTATAGTCAGGGAGGGCACAGTAGATCTCTGCTTTGCCTAGTGCTGTGGCTGTGTGCAGCACTCCCCTAACTATCCTCATTCCTGCAAACATTTACTGAGTGTAAGTTTGATATGAAATAAATGCTGGACAAGGGAATTACATGAAGGTAGTGTGGCAAAGAAAGAAGGTAACTGGCTTTGAAGCTAGATTGATCAAAGAGCAGACCTAATATCTGCCACTTGTTAGCTTGAGCAAGTTGTTTAACCTCTGAGTCTCAGTAAAATTGGAATAGTGATTTCTGTCTCTTGGGGTTGTTTTACAGCAGCAGTTGTGCCTGCTGTTCAGAACAGACACATGGTAAATATTTGGATATAAGCCTTCCTCCCAGCTTACCCATTAAGAACTCATTCTTCAGGACCATAACTGTGGTGGGCCATTCATCTATAGTTAAACTAGTGGGAGAATTGAATTCAGCTGTTTGATATTTGCTGTAAGTAATTTTTCCATTTAATGTTTCAGAGGGAATCATTTTAAATGAGAAAGCCTTCCAGGGCACTTTGGAATTTAATGAAGTGCATTTTGCCTATCCAGCCCGCCCAGAAGTACCCATATTCCAGGATTTCAGCCTTTGTATCCCATCAGGATCTGTCACAGCACTGGTTGGCTCAAGTGGTACTGGCAAATCAACAGTGGTTTCACTCCTACTGAGATTGTATGACCCTGTTTCCGGTAAGTGTTTCATCATATTGTAAGGCAGGAAGACCATCCTGAGCCCTCCTCCTGCTCTTGTGCCTCGGAGAGGATCATATGAAAGAGCAAGGACTTTGCAGCTACAGAATTTTAAATGCCAGAGGGTCTATTCCCAGCTAAGAAATGCCTTAAAAAATGTATTCGTTAGGAGTGTGACTGCTAATGCAGAAGGTCTATCAGGCATTTTTGTGTATTTCATGTCCTACCTCTTCAAGTTCAGAGTGACTTCCTGAATTCCACCTCTTCCTTTCTCCTACTGGGAGCTGGACAGGAGTGTGCTGAGCACCCAGAAGCAGGTGCTATGTATGCTGCTGTGTGCCATGGTCCAGCAGCCACACACCCACCCAGGGGCCAGCTACTGTGCTTGGCAGGGTCAAAGGAGTGCCACCTCAGGTTCATATTTCTTGAAAATTTGTGAAGCCCAATGCAGCCTGAAGTGACTGCTTCTGCCAGGGAACTTTTGGTGATTATGGTGAAAATAAACAGTTCGTTTTGCAATCAATATTTCACTGTTGTCTGAATGCTCCCTTAAAGCTATTTTGAGCAAGTAAGGAGCTCTGGTAGCATAGTGGCTAAAAGCACTTGACTGCTAACCAGAAGGCTGGCGGTTCAAACCCACCAGCCAATCCTCGGAAGGAAGGTTGGGCAATCCTACTTCCGTAGTGATACTGCCTCGGAAACCCAAGGAGGGGTCGCTATGAGTTGGGGCCGACTCGACGGCAAATAACAACAACAACAACACGGATTTTCTTCATGGATTTTTTTCTTTTTCTTTTTCTTTTTTTTTTTCTTTTATTCTCTTCAACTACAAAGAGCAAAGAGCATATTATTTACTTCATTATATCCTGCTCAGAGCCTACCTTGGGGCTTTGCCTAGAGTAGATACTCTGTATGTATCGATTTGATTTTAGATTGAAAAAATACAAGGTTTCTTAGCAAGCAAGCAGCAGCTAATAAAAATCTAATTTAAAAAGATTATGTTTTATGGTCTTTGTACCCTGTGCTTTTGATTAAAATAATGCAAGAGCTGATTATCTTCTAGATAATTATCTGACCCATGGAATCACCAGCTGTGTTAAAGTGGGGTTTATTTTTATTTTTAATATGCCACTTTTTATTTCAGCTATATCCCTGGAAATGAGAAGTGTCTCATTTTTTTAAGACATTTATTTATTTGTTATTATTATTTATTGTGCTTTGAGTGCAGATTTACAAAGCAAATTTGTTATACATTGAACAATTCATGCACATTTGATTTCATGGCCCCAATTACCACCTCCGACCATAAAAAACTCTCTTCCCCTCCCCTCCCTGTGAATATCCCCCTCCCTGTGACCTTTTTTTTTTCTCTCTCCATTTATTCATTTCTTTATTATTATTATTATATTTTTACAGTGTTTTCTCCCCTCCTCTCCCACCCATAGTAACCAACAAAGAAAGTTTCCCTCCATATATAAACCTTTCCTTGACTTTTTACAATAATGAACTACTACAATATTTGTCCTTCTGTGATTGACTTATTTCACTCAGCATAATGTCCTCCAAGTTCATCCACATTATGTGGTGTTTTGTAGATTCTACATTATTCTTTAGGGTTCCATAGTATTCCATTATGGGTATGTACCATAGTTTGGTTATCCATTCTTCTGTTGATGGGCACCTAGGTTGTTTCCATCTTTTTGCTTTTGTAAATAGTGCTGCAGTGAACATGAGTGTGCATATATCTGTTCTTGTCCTGGCTCTCCCTTCCTTAGGATTGTTGTTGTTGTTGTTAGGTACCATCAAGTCATCTCCAACTCATAGCAACCCTATGCACAGAACAAAACACTGTCCAGTCCTGTGCCAGCCTCACTATCCTTGCTACGCCTGAGTACATTGTTGCAGGCACTGTGTCAATCCATCTTGTTGAGGGCCTTCCTTTTCTTGGTTGACCCTCCACTTTACCAAGCATGATATCCTTCTCCAGGGAATGGTTCCTTCTGATAACATGACCAGAGTAGGTGAGACGAAGTCTGGCCATTCTCGCCTCCAAGGAGCATTCCAGCTGCACTTCTTCCAGGACAGATCTGTTAGTCCTTTTAGCAGACCATGGTACTCTTAGCATTCTTCTCCAATACCACAACTCACATCTTTAGGATATATACCTGGAGTTTTGGTTACCTAGTATTGCTCTGACAAGAATATATCACAAATTGGATGGCTGAACAAAAAAGAGTTTATTCTTACAAAGTTGGAGGCTTTAAGTCCAAATTCAAAGTGCCAGGCTCTAGGGGCTGGATGAAAGTGCCTAAACCTTGGGGTTCAGCTCTGCCTTCTGCTCCCACCCTACTGGAGCTATAGGCTTTTCTTCACTCAGACAGCTGCTGGCTGCTGAGACTGACCAACCCAAGGTTGACAAGTAAAAAGGCACAGTTCCAATGTTACCAAACCACATGGCAGGCCATTAATTTAAGTCCATTGTAAGTCTCAAGGTTGGCAGAGCATGCCAGGCCGCTGAACAACGACATGGCTACATGCAGGGTTCAAGCGTGCCATAGGCTAGAGACCATTGCCAAAGCTGTTTCTTATATATGGGAAGCAGACCACATACCCAAAGGCAGCTACTCAGCTACTCACAGTAGATTCCACCATGGAGGTGATTTACCAGTCTCATCATGGAGAATACTACATCCAGCTTCCCAGCCACTCAACCAGGGCTAACCAAGTTGACAAATTTAACCACCACACCTGGTAATGGGATTGCTGGGTCAAACAGTATTTCTAATTCCAACTTTTTAAGGAATCACCATGTTGCTTTCCACAGTGGTTGCATCATATTATAGTCCCATCAGCAGTGTATGAGATTGCCAATCTCTCTATATCCTCGCCAGCATTTGTTATTTTCTGTCTTGTTGAACTTTGCTACTACTGCTGGGGCAAGATGGTATCTCATTGTTGTTTTGATTTGCATCTCTCTAACAGCTAATGATCATGAATATTTCTTCATGTGTTTGTTAGCCACCTGAATATCCTCTTTGGTGAAGTGTCTATTCATGTCTTTTGCACATTTTTTTTTTTAAATTGTGATTTGGGTGAAAGTTTACAGAGCAAATTCATTTTCCATACAGCAGTTCACATACACTTTGTCTGATGACATTGGCTATAACTTCCCACAATCCAACAGCTCTCTCTCCATTTCATCCCTATAGTTATCTCTTCCCTGTGTCCTTCCCTCCCATGTACTCCAGTCCCTGAGCTGTCTCCCTTGTGTATACACAGCCTTTCTATTCTCCCATGACTGATCTCTCCAAGGAGATTGTCTGTCTGTTGTAAATATTCAGCCCATATGCCAGTCTTTTGTTTGGCTGGAAGACACAGCACTTGAACTCCAGACCTGAAGGGCAACTAGAGGTCATAGTCTCAGGGGTTTCACCAGGCTCTATCAGACCAGCTACTGTTGCTGTCATTGCCCTCAAGTCAGATCTGACTAATAGTGACCCCTCCTTGTGTTTCCAAGGCGGTATCATTATAGAAGTAGATTGCCCAACCTTCTTTCTGAGGAGTGGCTGGTGGGTTGGAACCACCAGCCTTCTGGTTAGCACTCAAATGCCTTAGGCACTATGCCACCAGAGCCCTTTTTTTTTTTTTTTTTTTTTTTTTGAGGTTTTTTTCTACATTGGTCTCCCACTCCATCCAGGATCTCCTACACAGATCCCCCTCCAAGTGGTTGACAGTGGTAGCCAGGCACCATCTAGTTCTTCTGGTCTCATGGTCATGGTCTACTAGTCCCTTGGACTAATTGTTCCCGTGTGTCTTAGCTTTTCATCATTCTTCTTGCTCTGTACAAGGAGAGATCCATTGTTGCATATAGATGGCTGCTTGCAAGCTTTTAAGATCCCAGTCACTACTCACCAAAGTAGGATGTGGAGCAGTGTTTTTGTGTAGTGTGTTATGCCAGTTGAGCTTGATGTCCCCTGGGACCATGGTCCTGAGCCCACAGGTCCAACTACTCACTCCTTCTGGGTAGTTGGCTGTGGCCAAGAAGTCACCACAATCTTGTCCCTTGTCAGCTCTACTATGTACCTGGACATTCTTTTTTTTTTTTAATTGTGATTTGGGTGAAAATTGGCAGAGCAAGTTCACTTTCCATACAGAAGTTCACATACACTTTGTCTCATGACATTGACTATAATTTACCCCAATGTAACAGCTTCCCTCCCACTTCCTCCCAATAGTTACCTCTTCCCTGTGTCCATCCCTCCATGCACTCCTGCCCCCTGAGCTGTTTCCCTGTGCATAAACAGCCCTTCTTTCTCCCACGATTATTCTCTTCAACAAATGTATCTGCCTCAGGTAAATGTTCAACTCGTATGTCTGTCTTTTGTTTGGCTGGAAGCCACAGGTGTGGGTTCAATTCTAGACCTGAAGGGCAGCTTACGTGGACATTCTTAAAGAACATACAAATATGCTTGTAGAAACATCATCTGCCAACCCTATACATAGTCATGGGCATACTCCCTCCTGCCTAGACATACGTGATCGTTCAGCCTGTTCACCCATCTATCTACCTATAGATCTATGTTTGCCATCACTGACAGTACAGTATGTGCAAAAGGATTCATCTTTGCTGTCTGAATTTCCCATGTACCTCTCTCTATCTTCCTCTTCCTCAGTGCCACTGTGTTGATCACTCACATTTGGTGCATTGCCCTTCCCTTCACCCAAATCAATACTTGTCTCTACTTATCTATCAGTGTTCCCTCTGCTCCCCTCCTACCCCTGGTAACCAACAAAAAAAGTTTCCTTCCACAGATAAACCTTTCCTTGACTTTTCACAATAGTGGACTAATATAATATTTGTCCTTCTGTGATTGAATTACTTCACTCGGCATAATACCCTCCAAGTTCATCCATGTTATATGGTGTCTGCAGATTCTACGTTATTCTTTAGGGTTGCACAGTATTCCATTGTGTGTATGTACCATAGTTTGCTTATCCAT